AAGAGGCTGGCTAACGGAGGTCGTTTGGTGGGCGACTCGGCTTCAGACCCCATCGTGGTGCCTCCAGACATGCTGGACCTGATGTGTAGGGAGCCTATCGATGTGGAGATGGAGCCTGTGGTGGAGGATCCAGAACCAATAGTGGAAGAGAAGTGGGAGGCTCCTCCCCTCTTTGGTGTTGCCATGTCGCCGAGCGCTTTGGAGAGGCCTCTGCAAATGATTGACGATGGGAAGCCGGCCGTGTATTTGGACGAGATGCCAGAGCCTGAGCCGAGTCCTCTACCATTCCGCCCCCAGTACTTTCTAGAGGGTCCTCCGGCTGCCCGCTCGTCGACAGAGAAGGAAGCCAAGCCATGACTCTGTTTTTCTTTTGTAGTTTGCATCGGCCGAGCTTTGGGCCTTGTAATCTTCGTACTAACTAAATAAACTGTGTGCTTTTCTATCTGACCCCGCAATTTCTTACTATTTTGTCGCCCGACCTTGGATCTATGAGACCGACGCCTAGTCTTGTTATGGAGAGGTCCTCCTGCTGGGGAGTCGCCGAGTCCGATCGCCGACCTAGTTACAGGAGTCTCTTCGTGAACTCGGCTGATATCATTCGATGAGCCGGGTTCTATCGGGTCCTTCTGGAAGCTTCCAGCTCGTATCACATGGGCCCGGAGGCCATGGCCCACTACGGGCTTCCGGCTTAGCAGGCCGGGTCGCTTGACGTTCGACCCTTAACCTATGACAGACGCGCCGTCTGTAGGCTAACCCTAGTCCTGAACCGTCGCCCCGCCTTTTGAGGCATTAAATGCGGCGTCCCTTCACGTCTCGTCACCTCTTCTTCCTCCAACGAGAAGGCGGCACGTGGCCGTCCTTTGAAATTCCTCCCCTTTAAATAGCCATTTCGTCTCTCCTTCCCTTTTCTTCTCCAGTCTTTCTTCTCAGCTTCAACTTTGAGCTTCTCCGGCCACTCAGTATTTCCTCCGATCTCTCTCCTAACTTAGGTAATGTCTTCTTCCTCACATTCTTCTTCTTCTCGTCGTTACTCGGTCGATAACCTTGAGACGACCTCTCCCTCTTTGTCTTCTCCTTCTTCGTCTTCCTCTTCTCCTCCCCGTCGTATGGAACTTCCGGCGGACATTCCATCGACGTCCTCTCCTCGTCGTATGGAACTTCCGGCGGACGTTCCATCGACATCTTCTCTTCCACCGACCCCCTCTTCTTCGGGGGCGGTTACTCCGCTGAGCCCCGCTCCTCTAACGACGGTGGCGGCTCTGCCGGGTGGCGTCGGACGGCCGCGAGGCAAGTTCGATTCCATCGTCCGCCCTTCTGGGTCATCATCCGTCGTTAATGCGGTGGACCTGGAAATGGCCCGATATCTTCTTGGGCCTTCTGCCGTAGTCCTCGCCTCGGAGGGCCGGCAAATTTACGACCCTCCCGAGGGTTATGTCGGTATTCATTTACACTCGGTCGCTTTTGGCTTCCGAGTTCCCCCGTGTTCTTTTCTTTCCCTTTTTTACCGCCATTACAACCTAGTTCCGGGCCAGCTGGTGCCAAATTCTCACCGACTCCTCACTTGCTTCGTCAACCTCTGCCACTGGTGGTTGTGCGAGCTTGACCTTGACCTGTTCCGGTATCTTTTTACCGTGAACAAGGTCGGCTCGCACTCGCCGGGCTTCGTCCAAGTCGCCGCTCGCCCCGGGCGGCAGCTTTTCGAGGGACTGTCTGATTCCATTAAGGATTGGAAGCTCCTCTATTTCTTCGTTCGCCCTGCTTTTTCTTCCTTCACTTTTCCGACCTTGTGGCCGGCCGCTCTATTCAAGCCTTGCTCTCGACATGCCGTTCCTTCTGATGATGCGGTCCTGGGCGGCGAGTTCTTGAAGGGCTTTGGGCCGTACTCTGTTAAGTACTGGTCCCGAGTCCGGGCCATGGCTAAGCGTGGCTTGCTACCGGAGGGTGCGGCCACCGTAGGTAGTCTTCGTTACCCCTCATTCTTCTTCTTTTCCTGTCTTGCCATATTCCGACTCGAAACACCTCATGATTTCTCTTTCCTTTTTACAGGTCCATACGACTCCAACTCCTCCAGCTCCGACGAGGCGGTTGAACCGACTCCCGAGATGGAAGATAAAGCCGAAAAGATGAGGCGTCGGCTGATCCAACGCACTTCCGGTACTGTTGCTGCCTCTTCCTCCCTACCGTCTCCGGCTCCCAGGCCGACTCCTCCTCCACCTCGAAACGTGGTGGATTTGACCCCGTCGCCAGTGGTGTCGCCCACTCGACAGCCACCTCCTCCTCAGACAGAGAGTCCCGGCTCGAAGCGCCCGGCTGGTCAAACTGATGAACCGGCTCCAAAAAGGATCCGGCTGTGCCATGAGGTAGAGGAGGATGCCCAGATCTGGATGGGCACCTCCTCCGTCCGTAAGTGGTGTGCTAGCGTCCTTCTGCCTAAGGACGTGGAGGCGACTCATGCTCTGGGGGACGCGTACATCCTCGAGGCCTCACTGCGCCAGTCGTACCGCGTAAGTGTTCTCCACTTAACTTTTTCCCTTCGTCCTTCCCTTTCCTTATCTGACTCGTGTCTGTTTCGCAGAACCTCACCTTCCAGATGGAGATGAGTAAGCGGCTGCAGAACTACAGGACCGACATGCGGTCTCTGGCCCTCAAGCCGTCAGTGGGAGGAAGAGCGAGACAAGGTGGCGACGATTGCTGCGACCTCTGTTGAGGAGTACAAGAAGTCGGCTGCCTTCGAGGCAGAGGTGAAGGCGGCGATAGAGGCTCGCCAAAAAGAGATTGCTAAGGAGTGGCTGTCGACGCCGGATGGTGACGAGTTCCTCCTGGACTTGGGCGAGCGCGACTATCGCCTCGGCTTTCGCGAGGCGCAGACAGAGATCCATTCTGCCTTGCTGGTCCGCGACTCCTCTTTCACTCCCGAGAGCTGGGGCCTCAAGCCCGTGATAGATGCTCTTCCGGCGACTGAAGGACAGTCGGCGGCTGGGGACCCGGCAGCTCTTCCGGCAGCCTCTGACCCAACGACTCTTCCTTCAGCAACACCTCCTGAGCTCGCCGAGTCCTCTCTTCAGGCCGAGGACCCTTCTTTTGTTCCCCTGACTGGATCAACGGCAGGGGCCCAAGTCGAAGGGATTGATGTCGACACCCCCTCCCCAGTCGTTTAGGGCTATTCTGTTTGGGATAGCCCCCTTTTTGTAAAGGCTGGCCTCCTTTTCGGGCCTCTTTTAATGAAATTCCCCTTTTCTCTTCCCTTTCGTATTATCTTGAGCTCGACGCTTTTCTCTTTAACCTAGTCTCTTTTAACTGCTCACCGAGTCCTTCTGTCGAGGCGACTCTTCAAGGCTTTTCCACAGGAACGATTAAGGGTCCGGGCCCTTGTTTCCTAACTCTTTCTTGCCGAGTCCCTCTGTCGAGGCAACCCCTGTAGGCTTTTTCTATCTCAGAAACAGTTTAGGGTCAGTGCCCCGTCGTTTCTCTCAATACTCGCCGAGTCCCTCAGTCGAGGCGACTCCTGTAGGCTTTTTCTCGGAAACGTCTAAGGGTCTGGGCCCTTGTTTCCTATCTTTTCTTGCCGAGTCCCTCGGTCGAGGCGACCCATTAGGCTTTCTCTATCTCAGAAACAGTTTAGGGTCAGTGCCCCGTCGTTTCTCTCAATACTCGCCGAGTCCCTCAGTCGAGGCGACTCCTGTAGGCTTTTCCTCGGAAACGTCTAAGGGTCTGGGCCCTTGTTTCCTATCTTTTCTTGCCGAGTCCCTCGGTCGAGGCGACCCATTAGGCTTTCTCTATCTCAGAAACAGTTTAGGGTCAGTGCCCCGTCGTTTCTCTCAATACTCGTCGAGTCCCTCAGTCGAGGCGACTCCTGTAGGCTTTTTCTCGGAAACGTCTAAGGGTCTGGGCCCTTGTTTCCTATCTTTTCTTGCCGAGTCCCTCGGTCGAGGCGACCCATTAGGCTTTTTCTATCTCAGAAATAGTTTGGGGTCAGTGCCCCGTCGTTTCTCTCAATACTCGCCGAGTCCCTCAGTCGAGGCGACTCCTGTAGGTTTTTTTCTCGGAAACGTCTAAGGGTCTGGGCCCTTGTTTCTTATCTTTTCTTGCCGAGTCCCTCGGTCAAGGCGACCCATTAGGCTTTTTCTATCTCAGAAACAGTTTAGGGTCAGTGCCCCGTCGTTTCTCTCAATACTCGCCGAGTCCCTCAGTCGAGGCGACTCCTGTAGGCTTTTTCTCAGAAACGTCTAAGGGTCTGGGCCCTTGTTTCCTATCTTTTCTTGCCGAGTCCCTCGGTCAAGGCGACCCATTAGGCTTTTTCTATCTCAGAAAAAGTTTAGGGTCAGTGCCCCATCGTTTCTCTCAATACTCGCCGAGTCCCTCAGTCGAGGCGACTCCTGTAGGCTTTTTTTCTCGGAAACGTCTAAGGGTCTGGGCCCTTGTTTCCTATCTTTTCTTGCCAAGTCCCTCGGTCAAGGCGACCCATTAGGCTTTTTCTATCTCAGAAACAGTTTAGGGTCAGTGCCCCGTCGTTTCTCTCAATACTTGCCGAGTCCCTCAGTCGAGGCGACTCCTGTAGGCTTTTTCTCGGAAACGTCTAAGGGTCTGGGCCATTGTTTCCTATCTTTTCTTGCCGAGTCCCTCGGTCAAGGCGACCCATTAGGCTTTTTCTATCTCAGAAACAGTTTAGGGTCAGTGCCCCGTCGTTTCTCTCAATACTCGCCGAGTCCCTCAGTCGAGGCGACTCCTGTAGGCTTTTCTCGGAAACGTCTATGGGTCTGGGCCCTTGTTTCTTATCATTTCTTGCCGAGTCCCTCGGTCATGGCGACCCATTAGGCTTTTTCTATCTCAGAAACAGTTTAGGGTCAGTGCCCCGTCGTTTCTCTCAATACTCGCCGAGTCCCTCAGTCGAGGCGACTCCTGTAGGCTTTTTCTCGGAAACGTCTAAGGGTCTGGGCCCTTGTTTCCTATCTTTTCTTGCCGAGTCCCTGGGACGATTAGCTGTAACCCATGTGTTTTATTTAGATTTTTGGAATCCTCGAGCCCGTATACAGCCTATCCTTTTCTACTGATAGAACCTTTTCAAATGAGTGACATTCCATATGCGATCTATGGGCTTACCTCCCATAGTCTCTAACTTATAGGTTCCGGCTTGGACCACCGCTGCAATACGGTATGGCCCCTCCCACTTAACCGCAAACTTGCCCCCTTCGGTGGGCTGACTGGCCTATCGATCGCGTAACACGAGGTCGCTGACCTGGAAGGTTCGCGGGCGAGTCCTCCGGTCGCGATATCTTTTCACCGCCTGCTGGTACTCAACCATCCGTGCACTCGCGGCTTCCCTCCTTTCTTCTAGGAAATTTTTCTCGATCCGCAGATTCTCTTCGTTCGCTGCATCCGAGTAGGTGCGAACCCTGTGGGTGGGCTCGACTACTTCGACTGGAACCTTGGCCTCGAAGCCGTATGCGAGCGAGAACGGGCTCTCCCCCGTCGCTCGCCGCTGGGTAGTGCGATAAGCCCATAGGACTCGGTCAAGCTCGTCCGCCCAACTTCCTCGGATGTCTTTGAGCTTCTTCCGGATCCCATCGACCAACCTTCGATTTACATTCTCGACCTGCCCATTGGCTTGTGGGTACGCCACTGATACCTTGGTATGCTTGATATCGTGTCGGCGGCAGAAGTCAGCGAAGGCCTGGCAGTCAAACTGTCGCCCGTTGTCGCTGACGATGTGCTCGGGCAGGCCGAAGCGACATATCACCCTTTTCCACAAAAAACGTCGACATTGGTACTCAGTGATGGTAGCCAATGGTTCTGCTTCGATCCATTTGGTGAAATAGTCGATAGCCACGACGCAAAACTTCAGACCTCCCGGGGCGACGGGCAATGGCCCCAACAAGTCTATTCCCCACTTGGCGAAGGGGATGGCAGTGGTGACCGGTGTATAAAAGGTGGCCGGCCGGGTGTCTTTCCTGGCGAATGCTTGACAAACGCCGCACCTGGACATCCATTCGATGCAGTCTCGCATCATGGTCGGCCAATAATACCCTTGAACGACTAACTTCCGGGCGAGTGTATGGGCGCCCTGGTGCGCGGCACAAATGCCTCTATGAGCTTCGTCCATTATTTTCTCGGCCTCAGGTCTAAGCAGGCACTTTAGTAAGGGTCCTCCGAACGACTGTTTGTATAGCTGTCCGTCAATGATCTGGAAGGAAGGGACTTTCCGCCGAACTCTCGCGGCGACTCCCGGGTCTTCCGGTAACTCGCCTTTTTCTATGAATCGCCGGATATCCTCTATCCAGAACATTTCGGGATTTTTTCCTCGATCCCATTCCTCGATATCTACTCGCTGGACTTCCAGTGGTGTCTCTTCAACACTCGGCCGATTTAGCTCCTCCTTCTGGCAAATTTTTATCAGGTGGTCCGGTACCCCTTCCAGGGCAATTTTGGACAATAGGTCGGCTTCCATGTTGTCCGCTCGGGGTATGTACTCTATCTCGTAAGCCCCGAACCCTTTTAACATCTCGACCGCACGCTCTTTGTATAGTACCATCCTTGCATTCTTAGTTTCACACGTACCCGAGATCTGTCCGACTACCAGTCTGGAGTCAGTCTTGATTCGCAGCCGCTCGACTCCCAGGGCCTTGGCGAGTCGGAGGCCGTTTAATACCGCTTCGTACTCGGCTTCATTATTTGATGTCGAGAACAAGTATCTCAGAGCGTAATATAGCCGGAATCCTTCCGGAGTAATGAGCATGACACCGCCTCCACAGTGCTGTCGACTCGATGCTCCATCCGCGTGCATTTCCCACCACTCGCCTGGGCAGCTCTCCGAGGCGTGTTCCTTTTCTTCCTCTCTTGCTGTGCATTCGACCAGGAAGTCAGCCAAGGCTTGACCCTTAATGGAAGGCCGGGGTTGGTACTCAATCCCATACTGAGTCAACTCTACGGCCCATTTTACAAGTCGGCCGGAGGACAAGGGGTTTCTTAGCACGCTTCCGAGCGGCTGGTCTGTCAAAACTCGAACGGTATGGGCTTGGAAATAGGGTGCCAGCTTGCGCACGGTGACTACCAATGCATACACAATCTTTTCCAGAGCGGTGTACTGCGTCTCAGCGGCCTTCAGCGAGCGACTTACGTAATAAACCGGGTGCTGGACTCGGTCCTCCTCTCGGACCAACACCGAACTCACTGCTTTGGCTGAGGCGGCGAGGTACAAGAATAAGGGCTCGCCCACCTGGGGGGTAGACAGCACTGGGGGCGTTGAGAGGTACTGTTTCAACTCCTCGAACGATTGTTGGCATTCGGCAGTCCATACGAATCCCTCCTTCTTCTTCATGGCTTCGAAGAAAGGCACGGTCTTATCCGCCGCTTTGCTCAAGAAGCGGCTAAGGGCGGCCAATCGGCCAGTCAACCGTTGTAGGTCCCTGACGGTGGTAGGAGGCTGCATGTCGATGATGGCCTATACTTTCTCCGGATTAGGCTCGATGCCTCGTTTGGTGACCATGTAGCCCAAGAATTTGCCACCTTGGACGGCGAACGCGCACTTTTTGGGGTTCAGCCGAAGGTTGTATTTCATCATTACCTTGAAGCAGTCGGCCAGGTCCTCCGCATGCTTGTCCTCCTCCCGGCTCTTGACGAGCATATCGTCGACGTACGCGGCCATCGATTTCCCAAGCAGGTGTTGGAACAACCGGGCGACCATTCGGGTGTACGTAGCCCCGGCATTTTTAAGTCCGAAGGGCATGACTCGGTAACAGTAAACTCCGTCCGGTGTCAGGAAGGCGGTCTTCTCCTCATCCGCCGGGTGCATAAATATTTGGTGGTACCCTCTGAAGGCGTCCATGAAACTCAGTAGCGCCGACCCGGCCGTTTCGTCGACTAACTGGTCGATCCGAGGTAGGGGAAACGGGTCTTTCGGGCAAGCCTTATTAAGATCGGTGTAATCCACGCACATTCGCCACGTCGGGGGCTTGGGTACGAGGACCACATTTGCCAACCACTCCGGGTACTTAACCTCGCGGACGTGCCCGGCCGCTAGTAGCGTGCCAACTTCCTTCTTCACAAATTCCCTCCGGTCGTTGGCCAGGTTTCGTTTCTTCTGTACGACCAGTCGGTGCTCCGGATCCACGGCGAGTCTGTGCGATATGATTGATCGGTCGACGCCAGGCATGTCCTCTGGGCCCCAGGCGAAAACCGTCCGGTGCTCCCGGAGCACCTTTACAATTTCTTTTTTCAATGTCTCAGAGAGGCCGACTCCAATTCGGACCCGTCGGTCCGATTGCGTAGAGTCGATCTCGACTTCCTCCAACTGGACAGCAGGCTCTGGGCGAGGTAGTATCGTCTTCTTCGGGGGCCTCTCAATGATCTCATGGATCTGCATCTCGCGTTTGCCCATCCCTCTGCATGCCTGCAGATAGCAGTCGCGGGCGACCTTTCGGTCACAGCGCACCGTACCTACTCCATTTGGTGTGCGGAATTTCAGGCAGAGATGCTCAATTGAGATCAAAGCTCCTAAATCCTCAAGACCCGGTCGGCCGAGTATAGCGTTATGCGAGCAGGCCAGGTTTACCACAATAAATTTCATGATGAGTCTCTGTACGTCCGGGTACGTGCCAATCTCAACTGGAAGTGTGATTGACCCCTCCGCCTCCACCGAGTCCCCTGTGAAGCCGGCGAGGGGAGTTTTGACGGGGTTCAGCTGTTCTCGAGTCAGCCCCATTTTGGTGAAGGTTTCTAGATATAGCACGTTGACGCTGCTCCCGGTGTCCACCAGGATTCGCCGAACGACGATGCCGTTGACGTCCATGGCTATAACCAACGCATCTCGATGCGGTATTTCTCCGGCTGGTAAGTCTCTGTCGGTGAACACGATGGGCTCTCGACACACCTTTTTAGAGTTCTCCTCACGCCCGTACACTGTCCCGACGTACAACTGCCGGGCCCAAGCTTTTCCGGTGTTCGCTGAATCACCACCTTCCGGCCCGCCGACTATCATGTTGATAACCGGTTTCTGGCGCCACTGAGCCTCCTCCTCCTCGGGAACCGGCTGCTTGCCTCGACTGCTTTCGGCAACGGCGGCGGGTTCCTCATCCCCTCGACTGCCCGGCCTCCGCCTCCATTGGTTAGGAGGCGGGGTTCCTTGCTGGATGATACCCTCCATGATCTTCTTCAGGTAGAGGCACTCCTCCGTACTGTGAGTATAAGATTTATGATAACGACAATACTTAGAGTTCTTACCCATCTCTTCGTTTGTCGCGCGATCGTCGGTCGGCGGAGGCGGAGGCGGGGCAACCGCTTGTACCTCGTGGACCGGACGCTCGGGAATCGGCCGATAGGCGTGGACCACTGGTCGGTCGTACGGCCGTCTAACTTCGGGTCGCCGAGCCACGTCCGGGCGCCTTTCTTTGGCTTCCGCTCGCGTTCTCTTTCCGCTGGCGGATCCGCCGACTTCGCGCTGTCGCTTGTACTTCATAGCCTGCTCCGTATTGGCCCTCTTGTTGGCCATATGAATGGCTTCCGCGTAGGTGGCCGGACGATTGTCCCTCAAGTCTCGGTACAGCTGGCCGGACCGCAGCGACTCGATGAAGAAGGTGAGCGCCGTCTGGTCCTCGACCTCCTCTATGGACTGGATTTCTCTCTGCCAGCGGGCTAGATAGGTTTTCAAAGATTCGCCTTCGTCTTGACGGATGTCACCCAAGTGAGTTAGGTCCTTTTGTGGCTTGATATTAGCGGCGTAATGGCTCATGAAGCGGTCTGCCAGCTCTTCAAAGTTGTGAATCGACCCTGAGGGCTGCGCCACCAGCCACCTTTGTGCCGACCCCTTCAACGTGGGTAAGAAAGAGCGACACATGACCGGATCTCGTACCCCCAAAACCTGCATCTTAGCCTGATAGCTCAACAAATGCTCACGGGGATCGTCGGTTCCATCGAACGTGGCTTGTTCCGGGAACTTGAAGTCACTCGGTATCTTAAAAGCCATAACCTCGTCTGAGAAGGGTAAGGCGGTCAGTAACGTACGTCCTGGGGATTTGGCTTTTCCCTCCATCCGTTCTTTCAGATTTCGCACCTCCTGTACTAAGTTTGCCACTTCGACCCTCTCCCGGGTGCGATTTCCCGTGGATTCCGTGCTCTCGCCGACTTCAGACTCAGCCGGTTGGACGGGGTTGCGGGGGGGGGGGGGGGGGGGTGTTGCTCCACGCGACGAGTCTCAGTCCTGGCTCTTTTGGTTCGGCTCTTCTCTCGTGCAGCTTGTCGATCGCGGGCGGCTAGTGGGGCACGACTGGGCTCCTTCCGACCTAATCGTTCTCTTGCCGACCGACGCCCAACGCTGGGACCCAGCCGGGAATGAACGGATTGTACCGGTTGGCTTTCAGCCCGTCGGCTCCATTGCCGGTTGTCGGGCCTCTGAGGCGGTTGCAACTCGCGTTGCGGCTGGCGAGTGACGGACTGTTCTCTCACTCCTAGGCTCGCTTCGGCGCAGGCGCGTCCGATTGCGCGTAACTGCTCCGGGGTGAGCAGCACCTGAGGCAATTGCCGGTTTATCTGCGGCGTTGGGGCGGTGTCTTCTCGTTTTCTTGGCTCCGAGCGTTTCTCCGATTCAGCTGGCTTCTCAGGTCAGCCTCCCGTCCGTTGTCATGGCGGCTCGACTGTTCCTCGCTTCCTGCCATGTCTGGAGTTTTCCTAATTCGACTGAGGTTCTAGTTGTCGTTCCTCGGACTCGCCTCACTCAAGAGGACACGTGACTCTTCGTTTCGATCCCCACAGACGGTGCCAGTGATGGTTTTAGGGTTTTCGGGCCCAAGGAGGTCCAACACAACCTTTGGTCGGAGGATACACCTCTCAATAAAATGTACGTCTAACTCAGAGGTAATGCTAGTGCTCGGAGTTTCTTTGTTATTTACCCCTCCCGGGTGTCCGAAAATGTCTACCTTTTACAAGAATGGAGGAGCCTTTGGACGCCATTAATGGCCCTTAATGGCCGACTTCAAGGCTAATTAAGATATGGAGCCGTTGGACGCCATTACTCGGTCGACCAACGGCTCTCCTAGGCTTGTAACAGCCCGACCGGGTCCTGCCTTCAATGCCTCAACGGCTCTCTTTTAAAGGAACCCCTTTAATGCCCTCAACGGCTCCTCGAGCCGAGTCTTTTCCTGGGCTTGGGCCTCGGCCGACTCCTGGACTCGGCCCGATTGCTCTTTGGGCTCCTCTCGATGCTAGCACACTTTTATTTTCTTTGGGCCCCTATCTCTTGGGCCGGGGTCCTTACCCCATCAGCAGCAATATTTATAGTTGAATCATAATTTAGAATGAGATTTTGGAGGTGGAGAATTAGGATTTGGTAATTATATATACTTGAGGAGGTTATATTGTAAATATAAAAATATATTAGGTATAAAATTGAATATATATATATATATATATATATATATATATATATATATATATATATATATATATATATATATATATATTTTATAGGCCTAGCCTGTTTAGTTTAATAGACTTTAAAATTAGCTCAAGCCTGACCTTTTTACTAAACGAGCTAGGCGTATTCCCACTGCAAAAAAAAAAAAAAAAAAAAAAAAAAAAAAAAAAAGACAAAACGGGATTGGATTTCCACTCATAAGGAATGAAATTTAGATATCTTTGAAAGGGTTGTATCAGCACTATGACATTCAACCTAAACGGTTTCAATTTCAACCAATCCGTAGTTGATAGTTAAGACTTTCAGTTCCAAAAGTAAATAAATTTACGCCTTACGCCAAGGATTAAAAAGGAGGATTCTTACTCCAGGAGCAGAACGGTAGTTCTTTGTCTTTTTATATTCTATTTTCTATTTTTAGGCCTTTCGCTCTGTGATCAAGCTCTAGGGCCGGTTGAAAGCAAAGCGTCATTGATCTTATTTTTCGGTTCATCAGACTGGCCCGCAATTTCGTTTAGGAATTGAGTAAGGGGTCTGATTCCCATGAGAATCATGCCTCGGGTGAGAACTGTGGTCTAATCTAAACCATTAAAATCAGGAGATGCACTATTGTAATCTACAATCTATCTGCTAAAATTAAGAATATTATTAGCATAATGTAATAGGAAATATATGCAGCAATTATACTATGGACCGCAGTCCACAAAGCTTTGTGGCACGAGGTCCAAAAACAGTGTCGTTTCTTTAAGTAAAGAAACGGCGCGCTGTTACAGTTAACAGAGTGCGCATGTTTAGTGATTAATTACCAACTAAAACTACAGTGTATCTAAACTGAAACTGCCTCACGTATTATTTTTATATTATGAAATGAAACTGCAATTGAATTGAAATGAAACTGTAATTGTGTTGAAATGAAACTGCAGTGTATATAAAATGAAACTGAATAACATTTCACATATTTGAGTGTATATTGTGCAATGAAACTGTAGTTATATCAAAATGATAATGTAGTTGTGTCTTAATGAAACTATAGTGTATATAAAATAAAATTAAATTACATTTTCACATATTTGAGTGTATAAATATCGAATGAAACTGTAGTTGTGTTGAAATAAAACTGCAGTGTATACAAAATGAAACTGAATAACAGAGTTATTTTTTGCAAAACGACACGAAACGGGAGCCGTTTCTTTGCATTAACCAAAACGACGTCGTTTAGAAGCTCGATGCATAATAATTATGCACCGCGCTGCACAATATAATTTGCAAAATATATGGCCAAAGGCAAATTAGTCTACCCAAAAACATCTAATCGCGAACAAAAAAAAAAAAAAAAAAAAAAAAAAGAAGAAAGAATTGGTGGAAACTACTCGAAAGTCAAAAGAAAGCTGACTTTGGCTTGGCTATGCTGGTATAGGTTGTGCTTGAACAGTTGTTGATCTGCCCCCTCGATCCAACGGTTGTAACTGAAGTCTTCCCTACACAAAGTCAAACCCGCCAATTCGTATAACCGTATCTCTCCGCTCACAAATCTCGCCGTTTCTGTATTCATTGATTTCATTCCGCACACTCTCTTCTCCGGCGGCTTCACCATGACTCATATCCTTCCCAAAGCTCCCCTCTTTCCGTACAACAGATTTCTATTTTTCTCAATCATAATCCTTTTCGTCTTTTTTTTTTTTTTAAAAAAAAAATATTTTTAATTTATTTTATAAATTCAATGTTTTTTCTGAACTCAGTGCAATTTAATTAGAATTTCTTTGAATTATGTAACACAACCCGTTTGTATGTATGCTTTCGTTTTCCTTGACGAAATTCAACGCGGAAATCAGAGGGAGAAAGATCGGGAAAAGGCTCAGGCTCGTGCGGGTAAGGGCAAGACCAAAGGCAAAGATGACGGTTTGACTCCCGAGCAGCGCCGTGAAAGGTACATTAGCCTTTGCCCTTTCCGATCTATATTTGATGCATTATACTTTCGCCAGAACTTTAACTTCAGGAATTTATCGTTTACCCAATTACTTTAATATTTATCCAAATTGTATGCTTGTTGATTTGGATTTAGGGTTTTGTTTATTTCTTTTTCTGATTTAGTCATAGTGTTTGTTGTAATGCCTGTGGATTTTGGATTTATTTGTTCTTGCAATGCATTCTTGTTTGTTGTTGTGTTTGATTTAGGTATGGCATGTGTAATGCTTGATGATTTTGGGTTTAGGTTTTATCTATTAGTCTTTCTTGATTTAGTTATGGAATTATAGTTTTGCTCACATAGTAAAGTTAGAATTTTGTTCCATTGCTTGCACGGATAGCTCAATTGGTTCCAGGTGACAATCCGCAAAAATTTTGTTCTAGCTTTCTACTGTTCATGATTTAGGGCTTTGCAGTGATTCACAAGTTCATTGGATGATAAGTCTTTTGGGTGATTACTACTAGAACTTAAGTCTTATGAATGGACATAATACTATGTTCAATACTAACATGCTAGCTAGGAACTTTAAGTCTAGTGGCCTTGGTGCGGTATTCTTTAGAAGAGGTCGATTTCAATATTTTAGAGCAACCCCATCAAGAATTTGTTTGGGTTTTTTTTTTTACACATAGGGAGGAGAGGGAGAGAGGTTGAGTTGGAGGAGAGAGAAGAGGGAAGAGAGAGAAACAAATTTATTTGCAATAAGGCTATCACCATTAGTTGATTTTTCACGGATTTTAAGAAAAGTTATGCTGAGTTGGAAGAGAGATGAGGAAGAGAGAGAATGCTCCAAGTCTTCCTGCAAGCAATGGGATTTTATCAGATGAGTGGGACCCACAAAAATTTAAAACATACTGCTTCATCCGCGTGAAAAGCAAAATCAACGCCCAGCGGGCGCGTGCATTCCGCGCCCGCGGGCACGTAACTCTGCAAGTCTATTTTTCTTTTTTAATTAATTTTCCTTTTTTATATTTTGTTTTACTTTTTTTTTTCCTTTTTTTCATCTCTTTCCATTTTCTCTTTCTTAATCACACCTGCAAAATCTCCTCAAAATTCTACACTATTGAGGATGCCCTAAGCATTGTTTTTTTGTGTGCCCCACGAAAACTTAAGAAAAGTTATTTTTTTTCCTCCCCCTTTCTCACTCCTAGTTGGCCGGCAAAAAAACCCCACTCTTGGGGTTGCTCTTAGAGTAGTTATTTTCGAATCCTGAATTTAATTCATAGTTATTAAAGAATTGGTTAGTATATGTTCATGTCATGAAGTTGGTTTTGGTCTGCAATCGCCAATCTGTAGGGATGCAAAAGCACTTCAGGAGAAGGCAGCTAAGAAAGCTGCTCAAGAAGCAGGGGGTAGCAAGGCAGGGAGTAAAGACAAGAAGTAACATCCTTTAAGAGTCGGTGGTTTTGTGTTTTGTGGTTGTGGATTTGTCTGTTGTTTTTCCTAACCTCATAAGTTTTCAATGTTTGATGTACGAGGTTTCCATTTTTAAACATGAGATATGTTACTAGATTTATTTTTTATTTTTTATTTTTTATTTTTGTGCGTATATGTTACTAGATTTGAATTAACTTCTTCCTTTATGGTTTGCTTCACATACAGGTTCACATTAATTATTTACCAACAACTGTTTATTGATATTGCTTGTGTTTATGTCTTACTGTACTAGCATAAACAAGCAAATAATAAGAACACGGATTAAAAATCTGCAAGTAAAGATGCACATGTAGAGTGTTTTGGATGAAGAAGAAAGATCATTTGGGGAGATTCGGGAACTCAAGTATATTAAGTACAAATGAAGTGTGGACCCTTTTTCAGTAGCAAGAGAATTTAACAACTATAGCAAAGTCAATGCCAGCTAAACACATGGGGTATAACAACTAATTGGTAATTTTGATCTTGTTACAAACAATTTTGGAATTGTAGATCACCATTTATTTTGTTTCTTAGTAATCCCAATCGAAAGTTTGGACCTGGATGATTGAATGACCTAGCAATGGCAAATGACTTGCTTGAGCCTGAATGATTATACATATCAAAACATATTGGGTTAGACTCAATAAGGCATGGTTAAGTCAATATTAATTGGAATATTGTTTGGCAACTTAACAAATTCTGTGAGTGTTAGACCTGTTCTCTTGGCTAGCTAGTGGTACATGGTTTAGACCTGGTAATTCGTGTAAACGGGTTGACATGATAATAATAAAAACACAATAAAACTAAACACGAACATAACCTGTTAGGGTTAATGAGTTAAAGTTCTAAACATATACAATTTTTAAATGGGTTAAACGGGCGATAAACACGTTTAATTAATATGTTGTCAGGTTTTGGGTCTACACGACAACATATGACAACATAACTTGTTAAAAACATGTTAGGTATGTTATTATAATTTTCTTTTTAGAAATAAAACTTTAGAAATCTTTTTTTATTAAAAAAACAAAATAGTAAAAATATTTCATTCATAACATACGATATTATTTATAAAATGATAAAATAATATTTAAAAATTATAATTAATGATAATATTAACCGGTTAAATGGATTCTGGACACAAAGTTTAATGGGTTCTTAACGGGTCAACCCATTAATGATCCGAGAAGCATTATGGGTAGACACTAACTCATTATTTTTATGTCTGGTGTCTGAAACACGTTAAGGGTAAGCATTAATTGTTGGAAAATATGAAATGCGAACAATGTCGTAAATCTATGTACGTGTTTATGTAGGCAGGGTTAGGATGAAGGAAAGAAATTGCTTCTATACGAAGGTATATCTATGCTTTCGACATGCAGAAGCAGAAGTTGAAGTTTAATGTTCAGAGAGGGAGGGGAAAGCTGTTTTTATATACCAAAAAGTTGTCACACCACACCTCGCAGGTATGCGAACCAAACGGGCAAGCGACTTTATTTCCTCTCCATAATGCTTGAAGTCTTCTAGGAAGTGTTAGTCTTTAAAAGGAGGGAAAAAGTGGGTTTTGAAATCAATGTAGGATGTTTTTCCAATGAAAATTGAATGAATTGTATTGAATGAGATGATAACAAAGAGTACAGATAATGATAATATATATATATATAAGGAAGAGTCAGAGGATGACTGTGATAAGGAGTTATAAACTGACTCAAATACATAGAGTCCTAATACTCCCTCTCAAGCACATGGTATACTAGTAACATGTAGCTTGTCTCTAAGGAAAGAAAATCTAGGGCCAGGTAGAACTTTCATAAATATATCTGCAAGATGATCTTTGGTTGAGATGAAGTTGACTTGAATATCTCCAGAAGCCATAATATCTCATACAAAGTGATAATCAATTTCTACGTGCTTGGTGCGTGCATGAAAGATTGGATTGGCACACATTGTCGCACCATAACTTTGGAACAGAAATACCTAGCACATTTATTTCGCGTAGCAATGAAATAATCCATAATACCTCTGCACAGACATCTGCCGGGCTTTGTATTCTACCTCAGTGGAAGGCCTAGCAATAGTTCTTTGCTTCTTACAGACCCAAGATAAAAGATTAGTTCCCAAAAAAACAGCAAAATCACTAGTGGACTTACGATCTTTAGGACAACCAGCCCAATCAGAATCAGAAAAAGCATGAATTTCCTTTGACATTGATTTTCGTATACACAACCCAAAACCAATTGTCCCTTAACATACCTCAAGACACGTTTCAGTTGCTCCCAATGTGATGTGGTAAGAGCATGCATGTGTTGACAAAGCTGATTAACCGCAAAGGATAAATCAAGTCGTGTAACAGTGAGATATTGTAGTGCTCTAGCCAGGATCCTGTACTGCGTAGGATCATCTTATAAGTCTGTACTAAAGGGAACAGTTTTCGAAACAGATATAGGAGTAGAAAGAGGTTTGCATTCCGCCATTCCAGCACGTTTCAAAATATCATTCATATATCGCTGTTGAGACAATAGGATTCCATCATCACATTTAATAGTTTCAATGCCAAGGAAAAAATTTGGTTCACCAAGATCTCTAATCTTGAAAGTGGTAGACAATTTTGAGAGTAAGTGTGTAACTAGGGCCTGATCACTTCCCATTACAAAAATATCATCCACATAGACCAACAAATAAACCCGAGCAAAATCTTGAGAGAAAATGAATAGACATCTGTCTTTGATGCTTGAAAACCAACGGATATTAAAAACGTGTGTAAACGATTAAACCAAGCTCTATGAGTTTGTTTTAATCCATACAGGGAATGTTTTAATAAGCAAACATGGTGTGGAAAATTAGCATCAATATAACCAGGGGGTTGCTTCATATAAACAATTTCATCCACATTTCCATTTAAAAAAGCGTTATGAACATCTAGTTGCCTGATAACCCATCCAGATGATAAAGCTAAGGATAATAGAAGCCTTATAGTTGTGGGTTTCACCACTGGACTGAATGTATCAAAGAAATCCTAACCTGGAACTTGATTGAAACCTTTTGCTACTAACCTGGCTTTATGCCTCTCAATAGTGTCATCAGCCTTCCTTGGTCCATAGCTTCACGCCATTCAGGATATTTAACAGCTTGAGTGTAACAAGTAGGTTCCGTAGGACAAGCCTGAGTAGCCATAGACATAGGAGGAGCCTGAGACTTACTGCGAGTCGCTATGGAGTGGGTGTAGACGGTTGGCCTCGTCGACTTGCCACGCGGACGCCGTGCAGCCGTTCGGCCGAGGATGATGTAGGTTGCACGGAATCAGCTTGCATGGGCTCGTCCGGCAACACGGGCTCTGGCGGCGAATCTGGATGCACGGAATCCGATACAACATTGCTGATGTCATGGTGGAGAATAGATTCCGCCCAGGGAGCAGTCTGAATAGGTGTTGTAGCCTGCAAGGAAGATTTAGTAGCAAAAGGAAATACTTCTTCATCAAATCTGACATGCCTGCATGTGTAAATATTATTAGTTTGTAAGTCCATGCACCTATACCCCCTAAAAGACTCAAGATAACCTAGGAAGACACACAAGGAGAAGTCCTGTATGACATTTTTTTACGATTGTATGGTTAAGTGAAGATAACACAGACAGCCAAAGACACGAAGAAAAGAATAGGAAGGAGAAGACTTGTGCAACCCATGATGAGGACTAGAATTGTTTAAGACACTGAAAGGCATTTTATTAATCAAATAAACAGCAGTCTCAAAAGTAAAATCGCAAAAACGATATGGAATAGAGGCAGAAGCCATAAGAGTGAGCCCAGTTTCAACAATGTGCATGTGTTTCCGTTCAACACGCACATTTTGCTCTGAGTATATGCACATGACTGTCAATGATTAATGCCTAGTTGCACAAACGAGGAATGTAATTTCTTATTTCACCTCCTAGATTAGATTGAATGGACTTGATTTTACGATTAAATGAACGCTCAACTAAAGCACGAAATTGATCAAATATGGCATAAAGATCAAATTTCTACTTCATAGGAAAGTACCAAGTATAACGAGAATAATCATCAACAAAGATGAAAAAATAACGACAACCATTAGAAGATAGCAAAGTAGCTGGTCCCCAAATATCGGTGTATATCAAATCAAGAATGTCCGAAGTACTAGACTCAACACGTGCCAAAGGGAAACGTGCAGATTTACCCAATTGACACGCTGAACATAAATTAGAATTGCAACGAATACTACGACTAGACCCACTAACCAAACATGACGGAAGAATTTGACTCAGGACACGCTGATGAGGATGACCCAGACGATCATGTCAAATCGAAGCGGAAGCACGCGCGGAGAGGAACGTAGAGGGAGACGAACATGGAACAGGCAAACTGTATAGACCACCCGAACTACTGCCCCGTAGGGGGATTTCCTTGGTGGTAATATCTTTCACAAGGAAAAAATAAAGGTGAAACTCAAAACACACATTGTTATCTGTAGAAAAACATTGAATAGATAATAAAGAGGTAGACAGACCAGGAACATGCAATATATCGAAAATCGTAAAAGACCTAGAAGGGGTATGAAAAGTAGCATGACCAACACGACTAATAGACAGGCCCATACCATCACCGACACGTAAAGTGTCATTACCAATGTACTTCTCCGATGTAGAAAGGCAGCTATGTCTGGAGTTGCATGATTTGTGGCTCCAGTGTCTGGAACCCAAGTATGAGACTTTGACGAGGTGTTAGCACCAAAACCATTCTGAAACACCAAATTAGCCTGAGGACCGGGAGCCCTGAATAACGCTGAATACAAGTGGCTCCTGTGTGCCCAAAACCTTTACAAATTTGACAGTGATCATCATAGCACCGAAAACAATTGGCTCCCGTGTGCCCAAAATCTTGACAAATTTGACACTGATCATCATAATGTCGAATACAAGTGGCTCCTGTGTGCCCAAAACCTTTACAAATTTGACACTGAACATTAAAGCCACGTCCGCTATGCTACTGATTGTGATATTTATAACGTTGATGGTGGGGCTTCGGCATGATCAGAATTACGCACTTCGAAATTTCACAACTAAAATTTCTTTCACAATGAATTTGCTGCCGTCTTTCTTTTTCTTTATCCTTAAACACTTTTCAAGATTCAAAGGGGAATCTTGATATATATTGCCTTGTGGAATTTCAGTAGTGGATCAAGAATTTTTCGAATAAAATTAAGATGAAAACCCTAACTAACTGATAACAGATAAGAACTGAATGAATTGTATTGAATGAGATGATAACAAAGAGTACAGACAATGAGAATATATACAAGGAAGAGTCACAGGATGACTGGAATAAGGAGTTATAAAATGACTAAATACATAGAGTCCTAATATTCCGAATGTAGGATGTTAATAAAGCCAAAAGCCTCTTTTCTTTTAATGTTTTCCCAATACTAATATGTTATTTTGATGTTTGATTTCGTTCTTCCCAAAAAGTTGAGTTCCCAATCCTAAGGGTCCCCATACCTCAACTCGACAGAGCATTTGGGTGTTTTTTTTTTTTTTTTTTTTTTTTGAAAGGATTTGGGTGTATGTTTGGTTTCCTATCATGTTAAAAAAGGTTGTGTGGCAAATTAGTAGGTCTACCGTAATTGATAGGAAGTAATAATTGTATAGGTAATAGGAAGTAATAATTATAAAATTCTCTAGCATGAACCAATCTAAAAGAGAAAATTTCAATTTTGGTCCACCGACTATTGAGGTTGTGTTAATTGCAACACTTGACTTTCAAAAAAGTTAATTTAGTACCTTACTATGCAATTCTTATCAATTTTGGTCACGCCGGCCAAATTACCGGCCAAATGTGACCGGAAAGTTTAAACTTATTAAATAAAAGGGGGCAAAAACGTCATTTCAAGTTTTTTTTTTTTTTTTTTTTAAATTAAAAATTTGCAAAAGTGTTCACCTTCACCTTTGCACCTTCGTCTCCAACTGGAATTCAGCATGCCCCGGCATTCTCCCTGCCATGTTTGGATGCGTTGTTGGAGTTTGCAAAGCCATTAACAAGGCAATACCTGAAACCCGAGGACGACGGACGTTGTTGGTTTTCTTAACAGTGCCGCCCTTGACGGCGTCACCGCCGGCGTGCCCCAGAACACTGCCCGTCAGAGGTTCTATAAAAGCCATGGAGCTGTGAGATTTTCTGTTCCCTCTTTTGCTTCTTTCACATACGAGTATACGAATTTGCCTTTTCACATCTGAGAATCCGAGATATATACATACTCCTAAAGTCGATTATCTGGGATTTGGGTAATGGAATCGTCATCTTCATCTTCTTCTTCGGTGATTACTCCCGAAGATGTGTTGGGGACCCTGATGAACGACGGTACAATCGACGCTATCCGGATGAAAATCATCACTCAGCTCAAAGCCAATGTAATCTCCTTTTTTTCTCAACGTTCTCAATTCTTTAGTTTGTGGTTTTTTATGCTTTGCTGCTTCACATATGTTATCGCAAGGAAATGATTATTTTCATTCTTGTTTTTTCAATCGTTAGTGGGGAGTATTATGATTATTTTATAATTTGTTGATGATAATACTATTCTGTTAATCTGATTAAGGAAGAGTTGAAGAATACAACCATAAAAATAGTGGAACAGAGCAAGGTTCTGAACACTCATGGGGCCGAGAAGCAGACCAAAAGAGAGCTTTTTGATGCACTTCGCCAAGAACGTAACTCGAGTCAGTATTTTCCCCTCTTTCTTTCAAGCACTGACATTTGTTATTCGTTGCTCGTCGGCGGCTTCATGCATCTGCATCATCGGCGGCCGGCTTCATGCGTGCTTCAACAACAAAGATTAGAATAACCTGAAATGACATTTTTGCCCCTTGTATTTAATGAATTAAAATTTTCCGGTCACATTTGGCCGGCGTGACCAAAATTAATAAGAATTGCATAGTCAAAGTACTAAATTAACATTTTTAAAAGTCAAGTGTTACAATTAACACAACCTCAATAGTCAGTGGACCAAAATTGAAATTTTTTCCAATCTAAAATACCTTTTCACTATTAAAAATATATAGTTCACTATTAGTAAACACACCGTATAGTATGAGACAAGCACAGGATTGAGGCATTGAGCTGCACAAAAAGTTTGTATCATAAAGAACAACTTTCGGTGAAAAATTGGTTAATCAATCAAATTGATAAATTTTGATTAATCATTTTTAATCAAAATATTTTATTTCAGTTAATAGTTTAGTGAAAATATGGTATTCGATTTTGACTAGAAAAGCCATCATTGTCTCTAGACACCGGCATTGCTTGATTTTACAAAAAAAAAAAAAATAAATAAATAAATAAATAAACAAATGGAGCAAATTTTTTAGAAAAAGTATAAGAAAAGAGTCTTAAAGATTGGGTTCTGAGTTTTGATTTTGACTATAAAAACCATTACAGAAGCAATAATGTCGATGATATTTCACCATATCTCAATCTCTCTATCTACGAGAGTTTTAAAGAGAATTCTATAGTATAAATTATAAAAATTTGGTGAAAAAGATATTTAAAAAAATTTACTACTACAATAAGTCAATAACTTCATGCATAATTGTATATTTGGACAGTTTAAGATTGATTGTTTATCAAGAGGTCAATAAAACAAATCTTGATGTGCAGTTGAAATTTTTTTATTTAAAAAAATGAAAGAAGAAAAGAAATTGAAAAACAGAGTGCTAATAATCATTTAAAAAAATAAAGAATAAAAAAAATTAGAGAATGGAGAAAATAAAAAAATTAAAGCACATTTATAAAATATTATTCTTTCCACATTTTTTTTTTAAGTATGTATGAAAATTCCAAATATTTGTACATAAAGGTATAAAAATTTACGTGTCTAAAAAAATCTCTATACAAAATTGATCAAGAAAACTCAAATGACACTATCAATGGAAAAGAAAACATTATGATTGTTGGAAATTTTAGAAAAAAATGACAATTTTTGAATGGCTATTTTGTGGTATATATATATATATATATATATATATATATATATAGAGAGAGAGAGAGAGAGAGATAGTTAATTCCAGCAATAGTTCTCCGATTATTGTGATTTTTCAAATTTGATCCTCGTCTTTTAATTTGGACGAAATAAACACTTGACTATCAAAATTATTCCACCATTGGTCCTTCCGTTAATCGAGAGGTAAATAACTGTTAGTGAAGGGCTAAAATGGTCATTTTCTTTGCTGGGTTTCTTCTTCCTGATTTGGGTAGAGTATATGTATACATTACACCATTTACACGCAGTGAACAACTCAAAACTCCATTGTTTCTCTTCTTGCACGTCTAGCTTAGGCTTATGTCGCTTCTTCACTGAGTTTCTTTCTCTACTAGCTTAGCCCAAAATATAGGATGATTCCTCCATTAATGCCAGGTCTATGATGACAAATTCAAAGGATTCCTGCATGGCTTCCACTCATATTTAAAGGACCAGTACCTGCCATCTTCTCCACCACTTCCAACCTGCACCAAACAAAGCAAAACCCATTCCATCATACCCTTCTGAATCATAAAATGGTTAATCCCATAACTCTCTCAATTTTTCTTCTTCATTTGGTCTTCGTCCTTTTCGTGGTTGAAGTTGGCAGTGCACAAAACCTGACTCTGAACTTTTACAAGAAACAATGCCCGAAAACGGAGGACATTGTTAAACACATGATGGCTAGTTTCATATCTCGCGCACCAAGCCTTGCAGGTCCCTTGTTAAAAATGCATTTTCATGAATGGACCATCATGGGCGGTTTCCTTGGGACACAGAGATGGAAGGGTATCACTCGCCTCAGGATGTTGTTCGCTGGCTTCCATGGTCGCATCCTGATCAAGCTGCTAATGTTTCTTCTTCATCGGCGCTGCAGTGGAGAAGGGGAAGAAGCCTCCATTCTGGCCATTGAAAAATTTCTGGCGGCACTAGTGTCTTGACGTTGTCTCTCTCTTCCGCCTTCTGCGGCGGTGATTTCGAAATAATAAAGCAAAGCAGACCGGCTAGGACACATGTTTTATATATACTTTTTGAAATAATTAAAATATAAGATATGTACACACCATTGATTTTTTGAAAGCTGGCCCCCTATTTTGTGTGGCCATGACCATGCACTATTTAGGGCAAAATATAATTGGCCTGTTGTGTGATGAGTGGATTTACTCATCATTACTTCAATCAAAAGAGGGTCAGTCCATCCCACCTCACTATCTCACTCCACACCATTGCGATTTCTAATTGCCCTCTGTTCTGCCGTCGTCTTTTATCCTTGGAAGGAGAAGAAGAGAGCTAGTTTCGGAAATGAGAGATCTAGCTATGGAAAGGACTATTTTACCCCTTAACTTAACTTCTATTTAACTCTTGGTTAACGGAAGGACTAATGGTGGAACAATTTTGATAGTCAAGAGTTTATTTCGTCCAAATTAAAAGACGAGGATCAAATTTGGAAAATCACAATAGTCGGAGGACTATTGCTGGAATTAACTATATATATATATATATATATATATATATATATATATATATATATATATATATATATATTGTTGGGTAAAATAGCAACGTCAACGCACGATCTGAAAGCCTTTTAAGAAGCACGGACACTATTGGTGTATGGTTGAAAGGAAATCTGTGCCGTGTTACAATAACACTACCTTAAAAGCGTTATTTGCCCGGTAACGGTGCAGTTAAAATCCTGGCACGCTTTCGACAGGCTACACAGGCCTACTACGGACAACTTGCACTAACAATCACGTAGGCGAACCTCACTATTGCTCAGACTACGACTCAAAGGGATTAAAGAAACCGAAGGTTCAAGGATGAATATTGAGCACTTGTTAACAATGTGTATGGTCTTTATATAGTAAGGTCGCATATTATTACAACCGCAATGTCATCCATGATTTGCGCTGCTTCACTCCTTCTCAAAGCACAACAACCACAATTAACTTAAGAATGGGATTAGTGGCTTTATATTTGGCTAAGATATAGTGTAGTAAGGACACATGGCAAAGGATGAATGTTTGTGGTTTAATTTGGACCACACAAATCTTTCAGTCTCTCAGAATTTTCCAACAATCCCCCACAAATTCTGAGTTGAGACAAAAAGATTTGTCTAAGCTATTCACAAGAAATGACGATAAAGTCTGAGCAATACAAAGAAGTTGATCTTAATGTCAGTGTTTGAGAACTTGAACTGACACGTAGTGACATTGAGTAATTTTCTTCCCGAGAGTGATATAAATCTTGAACTCACCAGTTAGATAAATTTTGAACTCTAATGCACACACCAACTCTAAACGCAGGTTCTACGAAAGTCAAACTCTTTGACTTCTTATGAATACCCTTAGTATTCAAGTCTGTTATGTTTATCTCAATATAGACCTCCACCCTGTCGAAGTCTATCTCAACATAGACTTTTAACTCTGACAGGTCTTATCGCATTGTAGACTTTTATGTCAAAGACCTATCACTTGTAACTCTTTTCTTTCTATCATAGGCACTGTTATTGGCAACGCAAATGACAGTTTGTGAATCACAATGTGGTGAAGGTGTTGGACACCCCCACAATTTCACGATTATCACCATGTTTCTTAGCCACTCGGCTTCTTGGGATAACCCCATTATCTTTCATAAGAGGCGGTTAGCCCTTTTGCACTCAAGTTAGGGATCTCTTTAGGTCTATCTCAACATAGACCATCCCAATTGAGTATAAGGCACCAAGAGCACTTTGTACTCATGTCATTATGCGGTGAATTCATTAGGTTTGTCTCAACAAAACCACCCTTTCTCAAAGAGTTATGAATTCATTAAGAGCTGTAGCTCAACCTCACAAGTACACACACTATCGGAATGACCAACTAGTGTACTATTTTGTAACTCTTTTCATGGCTTCGTTTGACCACAGAAGTGAGATCCACCACGAATTCATTACCACTTGGACTTTAAGTCCTTCCAATGAGTCAGCGACTAATCCTCATAATTAGCCCTCAAGTAAGTTGATTCTCTTGATCAAACTTACATGCACTTTGACGAGTACTTCGTTTACTCGTAAATAATCCCTTGAGATTTTCATGTTTAACATGAAACATCCTCTTTCATCATTATTCTCAATGCCACAAAGAAACTTTTGATAAAAATATAGGAGTTTATTAACCCTACAAGGCACACAACACTTACAAATATTTTTGTCAAATGTATTTGATCTCTTACCCAGACTGATCTTTGGTGCCCAACATTAGCTCCTTTGTAGACTGAGTTTTGCATATTTGCTTTGTGGAGCATTATAGAAGCTTCGCACTCTACCTGATATATGCTCAACAGTTGAATATATTTCAACAAACTTGGTTATCTCAATTGATCACAATTACCCTTTAACTAGGAATTATAGGTATTTCAATATGACTCAACCAAGAGTTTAAATAATATATATCCAAATGTTCATTGTTAGTAAGCCATAGAAATAATGTTGTCCACATGCTACATCAAGTTAAACAACATAATCACAAATTTCACATCATATTCTTATAAGAGATTAATCTCATACACAAGGAATATGTTCGAGCTCATATTTATTTGGAAATATCTCTCAACAATGAGACTTTAGAGTTGCCACTTGCACAATTTTCCATTCCCTTGAGAAAAAAGCTCATATAAAGCATTCATAGGATGCAGATCAATATTACTATTGTAGTACTTCAACAACTTCTATTGCAAGACTTTGATTGTTTAACAACATATGAAAGTCATCCTCATTTCAGGTAAAGATCAAGTGGCGCTCTAACTAGCCTGCATGATCAACACCCTACTTCTTAAGTACTCCCAGGTCGAGTGGTG